ACTAACTGGAGTTAATCCAAGACAGAATAAAACTAACAAAAAACGTGGTCATTATACTCAAACAATTACACAAAAATACAAATATTCGAATGAATAAAATTCCAAAGTTTGTTCACTATTGTTTATGTGAGCTTATGTTATCTTATATAATAATAGTTTGACCAAATATATTAAGTTATAGGTAAATTGACATAATTTATTAAAAAGTCCAAGATAAATTTGACACTTAATAAAGATAACTTATTTCATATTATCATAAATATGTCATTTTTTAATATTATTTGTTGATAAAACTTCACATGGATTATAATATGCATTTTCAAATAATTGACACAAAAATATGATATATATATATATATGATGTTTTTAATATAGATATATTGTAATGAATTCCATGTTCCTGATGTTTTGCTTCAGTGAAATTTTTTTTCACTTAAAATATATATATATATATATATCACAAAAAGCTATTTTTTAAAAAATATTTTCATTTTTATAAAACTAAAGATCAAATTAAACTTTTTTCAATGTTAATACTGAAAAAAAATATCTTATTTTTTTATATTCTAGATTTCATTAAAAATTTCATTGATGTATTTATTACATTTAAAAATAAAGATGAATTTCATTTTATGTCCAATATTTTTTGATAATAATATTGAATGTGTGAAAGTAAATTTTTTAATAAAATTAATTTTTCAATTCATAATTTTAATACAAAAATTTTAAAGGATATTAATAAAAAATGATTATTACAAGATGTTTGACAAAATTTATGAATAATTATTGCATTGAAAATGAATTTGAAATGATATTTTAATATTAAATTTAGCACATATGTTTATTTTATTTCATATATCCAGCTTTAATTGTTAATTAAAAAAATTCCAAAAAATTGGTTCCAATTACAAATTCAACTTTGCTTGTCTTTGATATTGATTTGATGAAAGTTATTTTTTTTGTTTTACATTAAATATCTATGAGAAAAAAGTAGTAAATCAAATTATTGAAGTTTGGGCATTATCACCAATGAAGAACCACCACCATTACCAGCTCTATCACATATCCAATTTATTAGTAAAAGTTTAATCTTCAACTTCATGATATCAAACATCAAAGTCACCAGATATAAAAATTTTCTTGTATAATATCTATCTGCTGAAATTCAAATTCTAAGACACTTTAAAACTCGGCGTGCAGTTCAACGGAAGGCAAAATTTGTGCATAACGCAACATTGTCACATATAAACTTATATTCTCATCCCGAACATTAATTTCAATCTCAATCTTGCTAAAATTTTTAATAGTTCTAAGAGATCACTCACAAAGTCATCATAGCTGTGTAAATCCTAGAGTGAAAGTACTTGACAGCGATGGAGCATCTTATATCATGGATGACAGTCATCAAACAAACAAACATGGTCGTAGAACAATTTAGCTACATAATTAGAATATTGTATGTGTTTTCTGGGATATTTCTGTCAGTATACTATCTTGATCTAGATCTTGTTTTGCTGTTATTTTATGGTACAATGGATATTAAAAACTACGCGGTGTCCTATATATTTGAAAGTATAAGTATCAGGTCTCACAAAACTTCTACAATGATATCAGATTGCTCAGTGATAATTTGTTGGTTTAACTATTCCTCTCGAAAACGAGTAAAATTTTTTACTCTGGCTCAATCTGCTCCTGAGGATCTGCCTACTCTCCTCCTTTGCAGATTTTTGTCTTCTTACTTGGAAGTCAAATTCACAATTCACGATGAAAAAAAAAGCTCTCGGCTGTGATCTCGTCTTTGTCATCGAGTGTTTGCGTGCTCGATCAGTTAAGTGGTAGCACGAATGTATGTACACATGTACAAGATCAGAAAGAGAACGAGGGTGTACTTTTATCGCACACAATTACACGAAGTTCTTTCTCACATGTGGATGGACCAAAAGTATGAGGGAATGCTGTTCCAGTGCACCGAGGTACTCAGATTGGAAATTGTACAGCCACAGGTTCTGTATGATTGGGAACTGTGTAGATGGATACGCACAAAGGTTTACCGATTCTTTGCATGGTTGGATGAGGACCCAGTCGTCGTCGTCGTCATGTTTCTTCTGTTTGTCAAGTGCCTCAAAGGGCAACAGCTTTGTCCTGCTGTGCTGGCCATTCTTTATTCTCCAGCAGCAGCTGAAGGATGAAGTTTCTCAGGATCTTCGATCATCGGGCAGAGCAGGAGTATCGTGGTAGCCAGACGCACGGAATGATCATTCCTGCTCTGGGAGAAATTTCAAATTTCACATTTCGAAAGGCGTAACGAGAAAAGATTTATTCCTACGTCACCCACCGGTGCACAACAAACAGGGCAGGCAGTCCAGCCAGGTAGGCGAGGGCAGAGCAGGCGGAGAGAGGGATAGAACGCAGAACGTCCTCCTCGTTCTCATCAGTCAGCAGAGGCACTTATCTGCTGCATCAGCTTTATCCTCAGCAGATTTCTGACAGTGCTAAACTTCATCCCTACTCTCGCTTTGCCAAGTACGAAGCGTTAGAGAAATCTGGGAAGCTGAGACGATCATCAATGGCGACTGCATTCAAACTCCTATGCTATCAGCTTGTATTTCTCCAAAATTCACGGGATCTGAGCGCACATCATCACTTCTTCCTCCAACACATTCGGTGATAGTATCTAAGACATCACCTGAGGAGATGAACACCAATCATGTCTCCGAAATATTGACAAACATGTACATACTGTATGAATCAGATAATCAGAGAACCAGTAATCACCTTGTTGCTTGGAAAACTCGTGCGGGGGTTGTGTATGTGTTATATCATTCGAGGGAGTGAGGCCAGTGTGAAAATTGTGTGGTTATTTACTCGTTGTGACTAAAAGAGCTGAAAGAAACAATGGGCATGCGTTGCCAAACATCATGTGGCGTGTAAAACAAAGGTGGTCCTCACTGTAAGGAGGGCGTTTGGAGCTGACAAGAACCTTTAGCTAGGCCAGAAGACGAGATCAGCACTACTTGTATCCATCTGACACGATTGTACATCTCTGAGAATTCCCGCACTGCAGGCAGGCAGGCAGAGAGGCAGGCGGCACTGTAAAAGCTGCATGGGCGCAATCATCTGCAAAAGTAAGCGTGCATGCAGGGAAGGTGTCTCTTTCATTCTAGCATTCCTCTATGTACTAATCTGGCCTGAAGAGCCATCGACCACGGCCTATGGTGCCTCTCCTCTGTCCGCATACTCCAGACGATGGTGATCGATGCGTGGGCAGGATGTATGTTTGAGCTTCTGCGCTCCAGAGCCTTTAGTTTCGAAAGCTCTGATCACTCCAAAAAGGTGGACTCGAATCCGTTCACCCACAGCTACTAAACTAGTGGCAGACATCATTTAAGAAGTTCCAACAACCAGATTTCACTGAGGAGGGCATTTCTTTGAAAAGATGACTTCATCTTTTCATTCGACCATATCCGCTGAGCAACGTCGGCTCTTATCATAGTGTCAATCATCTCATCTACGCGTTAGGAACCAAATTCTGGAATTTGTGAAGTCGCCCAAGTCTTCAGAAGACGTCATTGCCTTGCGACCATGAAAAAGTTGCACCATATGTCGAAACCACCAAACCTAAAGCAGAGCACAAAGCATGTGTTGCAAGAGATTGAGATAGATCCACCACAAAGGAAGATCTCTTGTGCATGTCAATCCTCATCAACACCTGGTGGACTCACGCTAACGTCAAAGGAGCTGGTCTTCTTTCTGCCTTTCAATTTACGATTGGCTTTGAGTCCGTTAATATAGGACACAAGACAAAACCATGGCTGTTGTATCGCAGCTTCGACATAAAATCTAAACAATATTCTCACCGCCTACTAAGAGAAGAATTATACTGAAATTCCCATCCTTTTGATGATGGGAGACGAGCAGAGCACGTCTTCAACAAACACGCATTCACTCATTGCCACCATGCCGGAGATGCAATGACGTTGGAAAAGGGAACATGTCTCCCGTTTATCAAACACATGACGACTTACGATGAAAGGAAGCTCTGAACAGAGCTCGGCCTGGTCAATTTCTACTATGTCATGAACTCGGAGCTCTCCTGATTAGATACAGGGGAAGTTAAAAAGGCCACTCACTACAAATAGGAAGCTAGAGATATGAGCGAAGCACTGCTTTTCGCCCAGAGCCCAGAGAAATGGAGATCTAGGCAAGAGAAGATCTGGTGTCAGTAGATACACTCACGTAAAGTGAAAAGAAGGGTTCATATGGTGGGCATGGACGGACTCCGAGGTTGGGGGAGGCTAAACTCTCCACTTGTTTTGTTCTGAGGGCTACACAAACAGACATGCAAACAAGTCTGATGTCTCGTCGCTTTCCTTTCCAGATAACAGATACAGCAGGATTTGAAGAGAGAAAGTACTGACACTGCTCGCCAAGCAACGTGACTAGCCTGAATTGGTCAGAGGCTCTATACAAGTAATGAAGAGGTGCAGATTCTGGAGATCGGTCCGCTGATTACTTTAACTAACCTTGATTTAGATGCATGGAGTATGCTTTGTCTATAGTGAAGAAAGTGACAGAAAGCTACCCACCAGTATTGCGCTTGCAGCTAGGGACAAACTGTTCATTCCATAGAGGCATCGGTTGCTAGGCTTCACGTTTCTTCGACCATTTTCTAAAATAAGTTCAAAATATTTGCTCAAATATTCCGATAACAGCATTTCGTTCACCAGAACTATGATGCCGTCTCCAGGGTTGATTCCTTACATCCATCCACCAGCCTGAGGTGCGTCAAAGGTCAATGTACGTACTGCATTTGATGATCGACCTTCCGAGAGAAAAGAGTACATCATCCTCGTCCATGCATGTTTCAATCGGGTGCACTTTCCTGCAAAGCGTCGGACAATGTCCGGTCATGACAAATTTCAACTCAGATGTACTAGCTACATTTGTCGAGATTTCTGAAGTTGCGTTGGCTTACAAGCACCAATACAAAACTACTCCTCTGCGTCTGAGTTCCATTTATTACAGTAAACAGTTCGGCCGGGTTCACATTTCCTGGACTCCAGCAGCTGTGGACTGGTTCTCGTTGAAGAGTTGAATCCATGATTCACCTGTCGGGAGAAATTCAAACCATGTAAGACATATGCTGTTGTAACCGACGATCGAACGATTTATGTGCCCGGAGAAAGAGCTTTAGAGTGTGGTCTGCCCGAGTAAGTAAATTGTACATGCGTCGTGCTCAGGCAACTCGTTATGGCCGGCTTGCACAATAATGCTAATTTTCATCTGACCTTTCGGATCTGGGGTGCAGTCTCTGTATAAGGTAACTGACACAAAGAGAATTCATTTGAAAATAACAAATGAAAAATTCTGCTGAATAAACTGAGAAGCCGATGGGATAATCGAAACCGTTAGAATGTAGCGCTTTCTCCTCTGGGTGAGCTGTGTCCTTCAAAAGGAGATGTAGACTTGGACATGCTTCAGGTGCAGGCAGGCAGGCCATCGGCTCGGAAAGCTTGAAGCTGACGAGGTAGTCGGGCGAGCACCCCGTTGAGTATAACATAGCTTTCTAAAAGGTGTACTTGTTGAGGAAGATGGACATGGAGATTAGAATTGCTGCTGTTGCAGCAGTCTGGCGAGTTTGGTGAATGGCCTGTCTCAGATGGACGGGAAGTAAAAAAGATGGGGTCGAATGGGATGGGATGAGATGATGAGACCGGATGCAGTGCCACCCGGTGACAGTCACGGTCAACACAAGAGAAGAAAGCTGGAGGACTTTCCCGAGACAGACAGGGTGACATGTCAGAGATTCTGTCGCGATAGAATTCTACTGTTCGGATTCCATGGATGGAGCCAACCGGGCTTATTATTCTCATGTCGAACAGTGAAAAATCGAACAGTGATAGTATAGTGCGAGTTTGGTGAACATTCTGCACATGCATGTGCTTGCTCACTTTGGCGTTCCCAGCTGTGTGCAATGTATTCCTGCGCGAATTTTGCCTTGTGTATGGCGATCATGGTATCCTTTCCTTCGTGGCTTAGGAGATTCGTTCCTTTGCCTCCATCAAAACTATCAGACGGATCATACATTCCACCATATTCTTTCTTAGTTCACTAAAATCGAGAGACTATATTTCACTCGCAAACCGAGAGCACTGCAGATCATGGCCTACGTGTGAATATTTTTTGAGGCTACACAATTATTTTGTCCCAGATGAAAACGCCGTTTTCGTGTGCTCTGTAAACGACCGGTGTCATGCAAACCTTGCTTAGTGCAGATCAATCAGACGAATGTCACAGGTCTCTTCAGGTACTTCAAGGACCTATGGGGTTGAAGCTTTATTATTATAATCTGTGACTGATACCTCAGCAGGGCCAATGTTAAGCATAAAGGCCCTCAAATCCATTTTGCAGCATGGTCCATACAGAGTGAATTTGCAGGTCAGAGGAAGAACAAGTTTTTGATGCATCAATATTCAAACCTTTCTTATTTTTGGCGTGCTTGATTTTTGGATGAGGTGGTGGCTGCATTATTGGATCTGGAAGTTCCCCCGGCTGGACACCTTTTGCTGGGGGAAACCTTTTTCTAGAGTGCAATAAATTGCACGTTCGGTCTCCTCCTAGAGGGCGATGGGAAACCCTAAATTTTTCGATGGTATACACATCTCAGGCGTAAAACATTTCATCGTGTGGCCTTCTTCGACAGAGCAGACATCAGCAGCCTTCAAGATTTACATCGACCATAAGAAGCTCAGCTTCCATCGATTGATTGATTGCCCTGTCCATACAGTATTCTACACTCAATCAATTCAGGAGCTGGCCGAACTGCAGGCCCTGCATGTGCAGCTGACGGGCTCGAGCTGTCTGTCTTACGAATGGATAACAGAGGCCCAAGGAAGCCTTGAAAATTGCACCCACGATCAGATCGATGACTCCGTATCTTCACTGGGTTCAGTTCTGCTTCTGGCTCTGCCCAGATGCGGTGGAGAGGGATGGGAAGGTGAAGCACATTATTACTCTAGATCGTAAGCACCCACCATAACCGACCTGCATTGCGTTGGAACTCGTATGAGTTTCCGGCTTACGCCATTCCACGTCCCTCATCCAAACCTCCGTGAATTAGATCATGATTCAGATGAGAATCGTTAGAACCTCATGCATCGATAGCAAACAATCCACCCCCACCGCTAGCTCAAACTCATGATGTGGTCTATTAGCAACACTGATATTCATTCTCAGGAGCAGAACCATCGCTAGAAAGATCCTCGAGGACAATTCTCAGCGAATGAGACCTAATCTCGGGGTCAGCCTCGACGTGGTGCACATCGTCGTCATCTCGCACCCTAGAATGGTAGTAGTTGTATTCCATCGCGGCCGTGCCTCAGCCGTCAGCTGAGAATGTCTGCTCTCCTCTCTCGCTGTTCGTTCTGGTCTTCCCCTGTGCATGTTGGAAGTCTACAGCCTGTGCTGTAGAGGACTACGAGTTTCTGGTCATGCAACGGGGCAAAACCTCAGAGCATCGTCTGGATATGTGGCATATCTACCACATATCCTTCGATCGATCGCTTAAGCAAATCCCTCCCAGTACACCGAGGAAGCTGGACTGAGATCAGCAATCGTCTCACACAAACCCATATGGACCTCAAAATTTCCCTCACCGCACTAGACACAGCATCGAGGATTGCACATGTCGTGCAATGCGAATGCAGAAACTTATCTACAGCTTTGACCGAATTGATTGTGGTGTACATGGCTGCACTGACTCTGCAGTGCTGCTTTCTCGGCACTCTGACTGGGTTAGGCTACAGGATGTGCACTAATGACGCTGGAGCTTGTGAATACTTCTGGTTCACATGGACCTCGCACAAGACTTCATCCTATTCTCCGACGGGGTTGAGGAGGTCGGAAGAGCGCGTAATAGATGCATTTGAGCTGGAGCACCAATCTCTTGCTGGACAGTCTCGTCCCAATAATGGGATTTGTGTGCACTGAGTTGCAGATAATCAATCATTCATCGCTTCGCCTCTATAACATTCTCCAGAAGACGATCAGATTTGCTCGGGCTGCATGATTATGACGGGGAGGTATAGAGCTTGTGCTTCCACAGTTTCCATGCGATTTCCAATAATGAAACCGCCTCTAATCATTCCTTACTTACAACTGCAATCGCTCTTGACCGAACCCTTTCTTGCGAGCTGGGAGCTGATAGTAACGATCGCAATACCTCAACACATACACATCTCATTATGGGAGATACTCAATAGTGAATGCTCGTGTGTTTCATTTAGACATCGCACTTGTTATAGACACACCTTTCCTCCCCAGGTTTCCAACATTGAATTTTCATGAAGACCACATTCTCTTGAAAACGAGGTTCCAAATTATTCCTGGTGAATGAACATCTGTATGCACTAGGGTGTGCATTCTGGATTGTACATCCATCTTGCTTTTATTGCATGGACTCAAACTCACAATTTTGCGAGTACTAAAATCTGGCAAAGTTGGAACAAAAATATGAATATGAAACAAGTATTTAAATAATTTGGTGTCAGAAGGCATGTTGGGTTGAAATCCTTTGTTGATTTCGCTTGCTCGATCTTCTTTGCTGATGCGATGAATCACGATCATCAGTTTACTAATCTGCAGTACGAGGGAATGACACCGAACCACACATGACACCAGCCTCAACAGTGTGGACCAATACATTGGCTTTTCCATGGACAGTTTATACGCTCAGCTCAGCTCACTGTGCGCACAGTGGTCTCAAGCATCAAGGATGCCACTGTACTGCATTTGTGGCGAACAAAGTTACCCAAATAAATGACAGATCTTTTCCACCTGCTGGATTCTCGTGTTTATGATTCAATAACAAAACGAAGGATAACAGTAGAGTAGGCGGTCTAGTCTGTCCATCTGTCTGTCAGCCATCGGCCCAAGTCAGATTTAAGTGGCCGAAAGGGCAAGGCTCTAATGGGCAGGAATCTGGGGTCATTGAGGTCTAATCTAATGGGGGTTGGGGTGGACGAGGGGAATGGTGGACTCTGGGCAAAATTGTACGACACTTTCCCTTGCAGGAGCAACCAGATCAGAGATGGATTTTACGTGCACGTATAGCTGAAGCTAGAGAGAGGAGCTCGTCTCGTCTTGTCTCCTCTGTTCTCTATCCTCGACCTCGCAGAAATATAGGGCTTCCTCCACTCCAGTGTACTCCCCTTTCGGCTCAACTTACCAGCTGTGGCCATAAATCGTACGCTTTCCGTCGAGTGTTTAGAAACTTGAGTGTCTTATTGCACGTGCTTGGCTCCCCTCCTCGCTCGTGATACATGCTATCCGTTGGGCCATCAGTGGATGATCTAGCGCTTACAGCATGGGAATGGAAATGAGTAAGCTGCCGGGCTTTCTTCCCACTGTAACATGCGGGCTCGCATTTCATGATTTTTCTTCAAAAGAGGAAGATGATCATGATGATGAGTAACAACGCTTTGCACAAGAGTCCACTGGCGGGTCCTTTTCGTGGCGAGCAAACATACGAGCAAAGCAGTTGGTTTTCCATCTCTTCAAGCGGGGTAACAGCCAAGTGTGTATATGTATACCTTCTTTTTGCATAAGCACGTCCATGCCCCTCATTCCTGGTCGGCCAGGGGCATGGACATGGAATCAACTTATGCTCAGTCCTCAGGTGATTCTTTGAAGACTGAGAATCTGTGAATGTCTAATGAACTAATATATACATATAATTGTAATAGAGAAGGTTCAAGACGTTTAGATTGATTACGTTCAGAACATTATCACATAGCTTTTTAAACGTGTCGGAAGTGTCAAAGCATGGAGAACTACTTCTGATTTCCTACATAATGGAAAAAGGAATCCAGGCAATATTTTTCACTATGCGGGTGAACTCATTTAGGTCCTTGTGAAATCTGAGATAATCAGATAAACTGCAAGTGAGGGAACAAAAACTTGTTAACCTGCAACGAAGAGCCGGCTTCCTTGACATGTATCTAAAGCACGAGTAATTATTATCAATTAAAGTGAAGCTTCAGGTCAAAGTCATGGTAGTCGCAAAGGGCGATCACTTCCAAAGAATCCACACATAGCCCGTCCCAGAGCATGTGGCAAGACGGTTGTGTAAGAACATACACACCTACCTACAGTACCGACAACATACTTGAAGACGGTAGTGACGACGTGCGAGCTGTGGTCGATTCTCTCACTCATTCATTGAACACTGAGCTCCGGGGGCATACTAACTTAATTAACCGTTCATAATCGTCGCGTCCTCCCATGTATGTACGCGCTAACTCACTGGCCAGTGATGAGACAAAGAATCTTATGATGCATTAAATTTTGGTTCGAGGTGCTAATTCATGGAAAAGTCAAATGTATTCTACTGTATTTACCGTTAAGCAGCTCGGTGCTCTAATTATTGCTCGTATACAGTACAACCCAAAGTATCGTCGGTTCTCCATGAAATCTTTCTCCTGGGAGAAGTTTGAGGCACGTTCAGATCATTTGGAAAAATCGGACGCCAGCATTGTCTTTCACCCATTCATCATACACTGCTAATGAAGGGAGAAAATTCACTGCTGTACACATAATATTCCGAATATTCTTTGACAGTTAGAGCAAGGTAAGAAGCATTTGGTAAAAAAGCCAATCTGAGGAAAAATGCAAAATGAAACTGGGGAGAAGAATATTATGCAGCATCTGATCTTACTGGCTACGTACCTCTTACATTTGGTCTGGATCCGTGTTCTCCACTGTAGTACAGTTGAATCAGTGGACTGCCATGAAAGTTCGTCGCCTCGAAATGTCCTCCGCCTAGACCAACTTCTTCAAGATCAAGGCTGCTCGAACATGCTCATGAGTACTCCAT